ACCCTATGAGGTAGGTACTCAACTAGCACCCTGGGCACTTCTGATGCAGATGACTGGTAGACCACACTCAGAAATATTCATCACTGGTTGTGTAACCTTGAACAAGCACCTATGTAGAGGGTTGTTATGAGAATTAACTGAGTTTATATTTGTAAAGCACTTAAAATAATGCCTAGAACACAGTAAACACTATAGAAATGTATGTCAGCCATTAGATGGATTTAAAACTCTGAGTCTGAGTGTGGTCATCCAGGGTTGTAGATGGAGACAGAAAAGAAGAATTAGGACTGGCCAGGAGCCACTGCAAATTTTGGAAGTCAGGAAGATGAGGAGAATCCAGGAGGGAGACTGTGAGATTTTAGGAGAACTAAGAGATCACAGTTACCTAAAATCAAGTAAATAAAATGTTTCAAGAAGGTTGTGATGAGCTGTGTCAAATGAGAGGCCAGGATATTGAAAGAGGTAGTGCTGCAGAGAAAGAGCAAGCGAAACAAGAATGAGGGAGAATGACTCAGAAGTCTGCAGAAAACTACAAAAAGGAGGGGAAACAGGTGATGAAGTCTGAGAGCCTATAGTCAACTCTCAAAGGAGCTACAGATTTTAGGGAAGAGAGGTAGACAATGATCTGGAAGCACGCATAAGGAGCAAGGAAGATCACTAGCCCACACCAAGCCTTCACATTCTCCTCTCTCTCTTTCCCATCCGTCCAACCAGGACCCCACCAACACCTTCAAGTTCATTTACTCTTCAAGCTCTGGGATGCCTCTTCAGGGAACCTCATCTAAGACAAACCACCCCCTAAACCAGCCAGTTCCCCATCAAGGGTTCTAGTAGGAACTGATTAACTCTAGGGATGCTTTAGAGGCTTGTGCCCACAGGAGGGGGAGTTCAGATTTCTAACAAGTAAAGTGAATAAAAACCCAATATCTGCCCTGAAACAGATCTACTCACCTCAGGATTCTCTAGACCAGTGGTTCTTAACACGGAACAATTTTGCCCCCAAGGGGACATTTAGCAATGTCTAGAGACATTTTTTTTTTGTCACACTGAGGAGCAACAAAGGGACAGGTTGCTACTGGCATCTAGTGAGTAAAGTCCAGGGATACTGCTAAACATCCCACAATGCATAATACAGCCTCCCACAACAAAGAATCACATAGCCCAAATTGTCAATAGTGCCACGATTGAGAAACCCTGCTCTAGACCAAGTGACCTGAGGCAAGAGGAGCTTTTGGGTTCTTTCATGGGCAAACAATCCCATCCATCTCAGTTACCTATACCAGTTCTGACCCAATATGGCTAAGGGGCCAGATCAAACAGTCAGCCTTATGAATTCTATTCCAAATCTACTCAAATAGGGCCAGCGAAAGATAGAGGAAAAACTTGAGGCTAGCTAGCTAAATGGTAAAAGTTAAAAAGAAAATGACGGGGCCGGCCCCGTGGCCGAGTAGTTAAGTTCGTGCACTCTGCTTCAGCAGCTGAGAGTTTCTCTGGTTCGGATCCCGGGTACAGACATGGCACCACTCATAAGGCCATGCTGAGGTGGTGTCCCACATAGCACAGCCAGAGGCACTCACAACTAGAATATACAACTATAAACTGGGGTGCTTTGGGGAGAAGATGAAGGAAAAAAAAAATTAGCAACAGATGTTAGCTCAGATGCCAATCTTTTAAAAAAAAAAAAATCTCAAAATACTTAAAAAAAAAAAAAGAAATTATGTATCAAATGTTAGAGGCAAAATTACCAAAACTGAGAACAAGCAAAAAGACTTTTCTTTAAATTTAAGAAAGCAGAAAATGCAATTCTTTTAATATGAATAATAAATAATACCTTACAGTAAAGTTCAAAAACCAGAATGTTCTCTTTGCTCTACCCACTGCCAAAACACTTCTTCAGTACGATGCTTCCATATTCTTGATTGCAAAAGGAAGCTAACTAAAGTGAGTTTTTGGGAAAACATTCTGGGAATTCAAAATAGTGAAGGTGTTGCTTTAAAAAATGAGAAGCCATGAATCTTGACATTTAAGGAGCTGATGTGTTCTTATCTCATCAACATTTCACTTACAGTATCAATATTTTATTAGACCCATAATCATCTACAGCTGGCCTTTCCGGAATTTTCCTTCATTCTCTTTCAGGATATCTCACCAATTAACAGTTTTTCCCTTCCTTAAGGGGTTTCCAGAGAAATTTTTTGAAGAGTCTACCTTCTACATGGAAGGCATTCTGCCTCCAGCATTTCTATTTCCACTTTAAAATCTGCTCCAGGAAAGATTCACCTAATGCATATAGCAAGAGGATGGCTGTGTCTTAATGAAAAATTAGGTCCTCCTGCCTAAACGTTTTATCAGCAGACTGCCTGGAATCTAGTGTGCTGTTTTATCACAGGAAGTTTTCCAGCAAGATGGTTTATGTGCATGTTGTTAAAGGAGCAAACCTATAATAGAAGTCCCCGTTTATGCATGACCCATGACCTGAGAGGAGTCAGGCCCGAGCAACAACTGTCTCCTGCAAGGCTGAGACCAGCTGCAGCTTTAACAGAGAGAGGGGTCCTCAACCTCACCTTCTCCACTTGGGGTGCCAGGAGGTTCTGAAGGAAAAAGCACTTTGAATACTTCTCTTCAAAACCCATTTCCACCATGTCTGACAGTGTCCGGATAGGACTATTATAACAGTAGGGCCCGCATCTACTGGATGCTCTATAAACCCAGTCAAAAGGCAACATGTATCAGTATTCTAATGAGATGACAGATTTTTTTTAGAAAAGTAACCCAAGAAACAAACACATATAAATACAGATACACACACACACATATAAACATATATGTGTATGTGTGTGTGTATATACACATATGTAGAGAGAAAGACTGCTTGACTAACTCATTCACTCAAAAACAAAAAGTCAGAAATACGCCCAGATATCCATCAAGGGAATGGTCAAGTAAATTAAGGCATACTTACAGAATGGAGAAAAAAATGGAAAAAAATTGTAAGAATGTCTATTATATGTTGGTGTTTTCACATTCTCTCCCATTCCATTCTCCCCATCACTCCCTCAAATACCTTTTTAGGTTAGAGTCATTATCCCCAATTTACAGAAGATGAGTGAAAAGCTCACAAAAGGGAGGTTAGTTGCCCTGAGTCACAAAGCTAGTGAAGAGCAAAGCTGAGATTCACATCCAGGTTTTCTGACTCCCGGCCCAGCATTTATTCCACTGCATCCCAGACTTTCCCTCAAGATCTATATTTGGTCTAGGTCAATACATGGAATTGTTAATACAAAACAATGCTAAACAAAAATCAAACCACAGTAAAGAGGTATTTGTTTTAATCATATGAAATTTTATATGTATATACTAAAAATGATGATAATCAGAATGAGACGGACAGAAAAAACTGGAACTAAAATCACCCGAGTTTGTTTTTCCTAAGAAGTTGTTTAAGCATATTATAAAGAAAATCACCAAAATCGGCTCCTCCATGCATGCCTGTCCCGGCTAGCTAATTAAGGTTAAGATGAGGCAATAAATATGAGACACCTTGTAAAAGGCTGAATGTGGCTGGACCAAGTTAAGATATACAAATATCCCATCCTTCATAAAATTCTCAGCTCATTCAGAGCCAAAGGGACTGGCAGAGTTTCTTTGCTATATCGAATGATGGAATTTCTGCAAGTTAAAAAGCTTGAAAGCAAGTTCATGTCTCTGCAGAAATTTACTTTTCTTAAAATTAGCACTTACACTATATAACAAACATTCTTTAAATTCTTCCTTCATCCAAAAGAATTTAATCCCAGGAGATCCCCTTTGGGAGCATTTATTACCTTCAGTCAAACAGAGTTATTTCAGGATCTTCTTCCACTTGTTCCTCTCCACAGGTCTGGGGGCTATAGGGCTATTTAATGGAGTAGCCAGAACCCATGCCTGGGTCTCACTGGGGTCTTCACATTATGCTATAGCTTGCAGAAATAACCAGGGGTGGCCTAGAGTGCATGCCCCCGCCTCCAAAGAGTAACTGGGAATTCACATGAATCACTGCCGTTCCAGAGACAAACTGAGAAAAGACTCACCAGGTTGACAAAGTACTGTTGTGAAACCCAAAAGCCAAGAATTGGACAAGATGCTACTTATATCTTGCCCCTTGGTTCTTTCATTTTTATAACAGGCAGTTAGCTATGTCTGCTAATCCACAAAGACAGTAGAAGAATGAAACGTTGACAAAGGTTTTCTGAGATGGTTTTTAAAAAGAAAATGGCTTATAAATACAATTTACACTGCTAGTTCTTTATGAAAAAGCATTTCTTATTTTAAAAAAATGTGGAAGTAAAAGTTCCCCCACTGTTTTCCCTTAAAACCACTGTTTTGATTTAAAGTTACATAATAATCTCTCTTGGTTCTCCTTTGTTTTAGAACTTTCACCTATTTCCTCTCTTCTTATGTAGACTACTGCTAATAAAATATCCTGATTCAAGAATCTAGGAAAATGCTCGAAATGACTACAATAAGATTAGATCATAATATTATTCAGTTTGAGGGTAGCAACTCGACCCATAGTTTATTCAAATCTTCCTAACAGCTACAAAAAGAAGTCAGTCAGCTTAAATGGCTGATCTCATTCTTGGCTTCTGGCTACAGCCCCAAAAGTTTAATAATAATGGCATCTATTGAAATTTCTTTAATATACCAGCCACTCTATTAAAAGCTTTGCATGTATTATCTCATTTAATCTTTGCAACACTCCTAAGTGGTAATTGTTATTATTATTGTATTGTTATTGTTATCCTCATTTTACAGATGAGGAAACACGGCACAGAGAAGTTGAGTAACTTGTCCAAGATCACACATCTAGCAAGTTGGGAGCTAGAGATGAACCCCAGACAGTCTGGCTCCAGCACCCATGGGACACCATCAGTGATACTCCCAGCTATGGCATTCAGTGGGCTCCTCCTTCTCTAAGTCAGGTGCATTGCCACTGATCCCAAAGACAAATTAAAACTCACATCTCTCATCATTTTCACTGCTTCCCTGGTCCTCCCGAGTCTTCTGGCACACATTGCTAGCCTTCTTTTGATGTAGACCAAGACATTGGTGTCTCGTCCTGAAGAGGGAGATATAAAACACCAAAATTTTAAAAAACATGAGCTTTCAGCTGAGCAGCAAGAAAAAATTGCAGAGGCCCATTTGCCACACTTTTAAAGGAAAATCTCAGAGAGAACAGACTGCTCCTTGGCTTTTCCTTACTGCCAGGAGCACTGACAACTTTGCTAATACTAGAACACCATACACAGTAAAGTCAAAGTACTTAGACTTCCAAAGGTCAAATCATGTGACTGATTACCTAATTCATGCTTTTGAGTTAGGATGTTGAATACTTGATAAATAAAATCATCTGCCACAAAGTGCTGGGAAAATGAACATACCCACATTGCACATGGTTTACAAGCAAGAATTCCACATTCTTCAAGTGTGCATGCTTTTGGTGAAGATGCAAAGAGGTGAATCTCAGGTTGCATCCTGATGAACTATTTTTTTTCCTTCTTGACATTAAGTCTGGAGAAGCCTCATCTTGAACTTCTGTTTTATATTATTCTTTCCCTAACACTAGTGACATCATAATCATCTCCAGGTCCCCAAAGCAGTCGATTTTAGATGGCAATATAACACATTCCAGATATGACAATAGAGTATGCAACAAAATGAAAAACTATCCTAGTGTTAGAGAAAGCATTGACAAGTTAAATAGTTATAATAATAGTCACTAAAATGGCTCTTAAAAAGTACATTAACAACTTCTCATCTTAATCTTTTATTTAATTATATGTCTTTTTGGATATGTTTCCAGACCAGTGAGAACATGCATGTGCTTAATCCTCAATAAAATTACCATGCTTTAGAAAAATATGACACACCTGTTATAGATTAAATACATGTATAATATGCAACTATTAAAAGATGTTAAGACTGAAGTCCTAACATTTCAAGTTTTAAACAATGAGAACAAGATGTGTGCTGAAAATTTGCCAAGTACCTACAAATTATTTTAAAGATGTGATTATAATTTTTGGATAGCTTTAGGCAGCAAGTTGAAAGGATTTAATTTACAGAAGAAAAGAAATAAAGAAAATTTCTTGTTATATTATTAAGTTATGTAATTTTATGTATTAATCCTCATTTAGTTCACAAAATATTTACTACATATGTCTTCAAAATTCACTTTATACATAATTTTTTTTAAAAACCAAGATTTAGATCGTGATTAGAGACTTGATTAACATATACACTTACTGCAAAATAAAAATTAAAACCTGTGTATTGATGGGTTGTGTATACACAGGCTACAATGCAAAGGTCTCGCTGTATCTTAGTCATAGGCACTAACGCACTCAGTGTCTGCACCAAATCCAAATTTAATACTAAAATTTAATTTTATAATCTCAAATATAAAGGAGATACACCCCTACTCTCCAAGATGCAGGAGGGAGAAATGAGGTAAGAGAAATTCCACTTTAAGTTAAGGAAACAACCCAAAGTTTGTTTGGACAATGAAAACATTCCCTCCCCACAAGGATTGCTAAATTTCTGCTTAAACAACCAACAAACTGACAAGTCAAGGGGCTCAGGAAATTTCAGAAACCATTTTGTTGTCTTGTTTTTATACCATTCCCCCAAAATATCACTGACTCTGAGTTTAGTGTACTGAAGTGAAAGGTCTCATTTTAAAGAGACGTTTATCTTAAATAAAAGAAGCCATTATGTTTAATATAGAAAAGATAAATAATCAGGAACTCATAGCTCTTTCTCTCTGGAAGCAAACACCAATGCTTCCTAAAGAAGAGCTAATACTGAGAAAACCACCAATAACTGTTGTCTTCTTAAGTGTCCTATTTCAACCCATGCTGTAGAAGACCCATAAGATAAAACCTTTGATAACACTAACTCTAATTTAAATCCTGTTTCCAATTAGGACTTAAAGTTATGGGGCAGAGAAGCAAATGATAAACAGAAATATATAAGAATTCTGGGGAGAAAAAAGGTTACCATTAAAGGTTATTACCATTTATTTCTATTAGAACTCTGCGGGCAAGAAAGAGAATCTGAACATTAATGTGAACAGTAAGGAAGCCATAACTATGTACTGTGCTCTCATGGAAAGGAAAAAATTAATAAAAACAAAGAAAAGTAAATACCAATATTTATTTTCATCCAGAAGAATCACATTTTGAACTGGCCTAAAAATTTGCTCTGATGAATCATGTTACGGTTCTGATCCCCCAACACGTCAACCTCAAGGGAACCTTACTATGTTGGGCTTCATACTGGGATCCATGATGCTGTAGCTGCTGAGAACGCCGGTAACAGCCATCTCCAGCCTTCAGGGCCTGCTTAAACAGCTTTTCTGCTTCAGCAATGGTTGTTGCTTCTTCTTCAGCCAAGAGAATATAAGCAGTTGCACACCTGTTCATTCAAATAATAGCCACCATCAATTACAAATCCAAGGACATCCTAACAGCTGTGGGAGTGCATGCAGAAGGGCAAGGAGTTACATCAAAACATGCAGAGTGGCCAACTGGTTCATGCACCCCTGTTCATAGTTGTTGACACAAAATAATGGTACAAAAGAAATGTCTGTATTTTAGCTTGAGAGGTAGAATGCGTAGTGTTAGGCACATAGGGCTCACATATGGACTCTGCCCCTTATTAGTGTGTCATTTTGGGCAAGTTATTACTCTGCCTCCCTGGTGGAGAACAACATAGAATCTATTTGTTCACAGTGTTGCTGTGAAGGGTAAGTAAGGTGATGCATGTAAAGTGCTCAGTACAGTAGCCAGCATGTGGTACATGCTCAACAGATGTCAACTAACGATGGCAATGAGAATAGCTGTTAAATATCTACTTCCAACACTCAAAGTTAGAGGTACTATATATAAGTTTACTTCTGTTTACTAAACACAGATTCTCTTTAATCTAAAATTTTCTTCAGAATGAGAAATTCATTAAATCAAGTAAGTTACTCATTGAAAAAAATAGCACTTCAACATCTCATTACAGTTAGCACTGATTCTCTATGTCAGAGAAGAACACTAGAAGAACCTGCAGGTAGTGTTATTTCTGAAAAGCTCAAAATTTGATTCAGCCTCAGCAGTGAACAAGAGTTAAATCTCATGTCTTTAACAATAATAGCTACCATTTGTTGCTTAGTGTATCTTAAGCACTGTACCAGGCACTTAACACATATCGTCTCACTTAAGCCTTTCAACAACCCTCTAAGGTAGGAAACCAAGAAGGATAAGCAGTTAACTAATGAATAAGGGGAACTCTGAAAAATTTAAACCTTCCAAATCATGTAAGAACAACCCAACTGCCAGAGAAAGGGAATGTAATAGGGAAACAGTGAGCCGAGAACAGACCACACAGGTCCTAATCTGCACAGATCCCTTTGCTTTCCTTCTTCTCCGCTGCCTCTCTTGTGGTCATTTCCCTACTTATCAGAATCTCCATCAGACCACAAGAGAGAAAAATAAACAGAAAGTGAAACCAAATGCTACTTAGACTATTCATAAACTGCTACAGCCAGCTAGGAAAAGGAGGCTGAACTTACAGTTAATGTGACGTTTAGGGTTACTAGTTAATCTTAGCTTTGAGGAGGGGTCTTCTAAATTCTTTAGCCAATCCTTCTAATTTCAGGCAGGATTGATCAATGGGGCTTTCAACTGAATGTGGTGAGGTAGGGAGAAAAATGCCCAGAAAAAAAATCATAAAACCAATTACTATGGAGGGCAGCAGATATGACTTGGAAGAACAATAATGATGCTGAAACTGCCCAGGGGTTCACTGGAGAAAATAACTGGGATAGGCATCAGGAAGGAATACTTAAGGCTTCAGATGCCAACATATAAATATGGGTCAAGGGTAATGAAGTGAAAATTGAGATTATAATACTGAGTGGTAGACATAGTATCAGAGGAATTAGCTATAAGACTATAGCTGGTGGGCTAGGAACTCAAGACAGGTTGGGGCCAGCTTGCTTGCTTTGTTTATTTATATTTCAAATAGCTTTCTTAGGAGGAGAGGCAGAGTAGCACTACCGGCCAAGAAAACATACATCTATGTGGAAACTCATGAATCTGGGGTAGAAACATGCTAAGAGCTTGTGAGTGAAGGAGAAAGGAAAGAGCAATAGAAGTGCTAATGGTTGGGGAGTACAGAACAGACTGCTCAGCTCGATGGAAGATATAGATGATGCATCCTTGTCACAACACAATACACATACAGAAGCAAGAAAGTGTGGTGATGGGGGTGTCAACCATCCAGATATCTGCTAGAAGAAGTCTCACTTGGTTATAAGTAGGGCACCCGACAGATTCTTGACTTACTTTGGTAACAATTTTATCTCCCAGATGGTAGAGGAAGCAATTAGGGGAACTTCAACTCTGGACCTAATTCTGACCAAGAAGAAAAAAATAGTTGGTGAAATGAAAATTGATAGGAACATTCAGAGAGAGTTACTGTCATTCTGGAGTTCAGGGTAATCAAAGAGGGTAAGGTGGACTTCAAAAAATTCAAAGAAAAGAGGCATGATTCAATGGCATGAGATTCAGAGGGAAAAATGGTTTAAGAGGGTTGGGCAGCTTCCAAATGTCCAACTGTAACTGCAATCACAAACGATCCTCTTGGGAAGAAGAGAGGGGTGACAATTAAGTCACCAATACGGCTGCACAGAGATCTCTCACAAGGTCAGAGTTTAAAGGAGATGGAAAAAAAGATGATAAGAGGGCATGTAATGAAGGACTATAAGAGAGTGTCATGAGCTAATAAGAATAACGTCAGGAGAGCTAAAACTCCAATCTAGCCAAAGCTTGAAAACAAAGACAAAAGTAAACAAAATGCTAAAGACAACCATCTATTCCATGTTTTTAAATTCTGTTTAAGGCCCTATCGCCACACTATTTCTCCAAAACCATCACAAAAATAAATAAGCAAAAAAGACAAACAACACAACATCAAAACAAGGAAAGTTTAAAGTTAGTAGCAGCAGGTAATAAAGAGAAAGCAAAATTCTCTAATACCTATTTTGTTCCTGGCTTCTCCATCAAGGAGAATGATTGTCAGACTGAAAAAGGGAGAAGAAATGAAACTCTAAATAGGGGAAAAAGATGTAAGATAGCAAATTACTGATCTATTCTAAATGAATTATCGTACCAGGATAGGCCAATCCCAAGAAGCCAACAGACCTTGTAGGCAGGCCATGGAATTGCTCTATGTGGATAGTTAAGGAATCACGAAGAATGGAGAGGTACTAGAAGATGAGATGACAAATGTAGTAAAAATGTACACCAAGGGGAAGAAGGCAGACTTCTCAAACTACAGAACAGTGATATGGAAAAATATTCTAATAGATTATTAAAGGGATGGTTTCCAAGCATTTTAAAAAGGAAGTAGTGAACACTAGAAGCTAGCTTAAATTCACCAAAAATAAATCAATCAGGTTGTGCTAGCTTAATTTACTCTAATAGATTGACTATACATTAAAGATCCATAGCTACAACTGGCATTCTTAAGATCAAAATGCTGAAGTATAACTGGGTGGCTTAGTAATCGGTTGAACAATACCAAAGGATGATGATTCATGAGGACATGAACCTGGAGGGTTGTTTCTATATATCATGTCACAGGGTTCTATCCCTGATCCTGATATTTTTATCAGAAACACGGATGACATACAGAAGGCAGGCATATCAAATTTGTAGATGTCAAGAAACTGGAAAATAAATATGTTGTATGACAGAACCAGAAATCAAATAGATCAACAGGTTACAATGGCAGGATTCCCAACTCTCAAGCGAATCTTTCTTCTAAGACCTCTGAAGAAGATTCTGTAACCTTCTTCAGAAAAATCATAAAATAGTTTAACAATGACCACTTGGCAGGGAGAGTGTCGAGGTGATTCAAGCACCAGATGGGTGGTTGAGCTAAATGACCTTTAAGGTCTCTGCCAACCCTGAGCTTTTATGACTCCAACTTTAAGAATCTTTCTCATTTTCTGAGATTTCCAGAACAGATTTCCCAGCCTTCCTTGGTAACTCATAGAATGTTTAACGATGCTAAGGATGGCATTTCCTCTTATCTCTGTGTTGATCTTGAAATATTTTTAAAGTGTAACTTTTTCACCTTACGTTTTTATTATGTTCTCCCCACTAGCAGAAGTTCTACCTAGAAAATGTGATGGCACAGTTGACATTACATCTGGGAAAATTTCCCTGTCAAAATGTTTTAGATATGTAAAGAACTCTATTTATTTTATGTCCTCACAATATCCCACAGATAGCCCTTGAAGAATTTAATTTACGGTCAAATAGCAAAGCCACTGAATTGTTCTTTAAAATAACTAAAACCACCTTCACATAGATGTCCTTGATAAAAAAATTTTTTTTTATAAATTAATATCCCCCAAAATAATCCTCAAGTTCAAATGAATAGTTTAATATGAGTAACCCATCAGCGACAACTGATTACATTCAGCAAAGGATGAGATTTTCTTTTTAAAAGCAAGATTTTCCCCACTTACTCATTTATCTCTAAGGCTTCATGAGCTGCAGAAATCCTAGCCTGGGGGTTTCTCTCTCTCCAGGCTTTCTGCATTACTATTTTAGAAAAAAAGAAGAAAGCAAGATAATCAATACACATAATTAGGAAGACTCAATACAAGACAACAGTTAAATTAATAACTTTCAGCTTGAACTACAAGAGAATATTTCACTTATCAAGAGGGTCAGCCCAAATCTCCAAAGTCACACAAATACATTCCAATTTGCTATTCCATTGTCCTTCAATTACTGATATCAAACCTTTCTTGTGCTCATGAAACTACATATCTAAATATTATAGACTAATCCATAGTTTATAACCTTAGACTTAACCTTGATTAAGATGTCTTAATCAAGAAAAGAGAAGGCACTCTAACAGAAACTTAATATTCCTTTTTGCTCATTAATGACATTTGTTGTTAGAGAACATACATTATTTTATACATTTTGAGATGACATTGCTACTAATCTCTTCCTTCTACTTAGACACAACATAATTTCTATTGGTCATTTTCCCAAACACTTGCTACAAGCTCTGGATATTAGAACATTTTAAAACTATTTGAAGAATTATGAGTTGGATCAGGAAAAAAAGCTGGAGGCTTTTGTTAACACATGTACCTGCTCCCAAAGTTTGCTGCAAACCCAGTTTTTATATATCAGAGAAGTTTGTGAATATATTGTGGGAAGCTCAATGCTTAGAATATTTATTGTACTAGGATGTTCTACCATGGCAAAGTGCACCTCTTAAAAAAGAGTAACAGTCTCCTTATCTAATTTGTTTTACAAATTTCTGTCTCCTAACTTAGTTTCTCAGGAATATGAACATATTCTTTTTAAAGATTTTTTTTCATCTAGTTTCCTTAAGCTTGGAACATAAAAAAAATATCAGTAAGGTTATTTGGAACTCAAGCAGTATCAAATGCATGCTAAACTAAGTCTTTTCCAGGATGGAAAACAAATATGGATTCCAATAGCCAAGGCCATGCCCCCATTCAATGCTAGTGAATCTGTAAACAGGCATATAAATCACCACAATATATTTATTAATCATTTAGATTCACTAAATCCCAACTTCTAACTAGAATATAATCAAAGAGACATGAGCTTTCACTCTATTTCCACCAAACATTTAATTAGCTTCACATAAGATTCATATTTCTTCAAAATATGTAAATCCAACTTTGGTATATTTTTTAAAATGATATTTTAAATTATAATAAGGGGACTCATTTCTACATCAATACTTCAATGTGATAAAGCCTTTACTTAAGTATCAGAATTCTGGGTTCTACCAGTCATCTTCAATTTAATATTTTATTCATTGAGGTTTCCGTAGAGCAGATATTCTAAAAGTAGCAACCTTGATACTTAAAACAAACCAAGAAGGTCTCCCACTCAGCAACTATCTGAAGGATTTCTCATACTTGCATCTGCGGGGCGCAGATGGTCCGAGTCACAAGTAAAGAATGTCTGGTGGTCCTGGGCAGAGAGATTCATGTCATAATAAGTCAGAGGCTCTCGTCCTGTCACCCAAGTGTACCTGTAAAGAGGAAATAAAATGGTCAGACACTTTTGAGAGAGAAAAGCAAGATCTACAAAATATTAAGCTGCATAGAAGTTCAACTATAAACCATTAACTGAGTACTAAAACAGTTTTACCAATAAATAAAAAAATATTTTAAAAAAATCGTTCTCATCTCCCTTTAGGAGGTATATCAGCAGGAAAGAAGTTCAACATTTTCCCCTATATTTTTGTCCTAAAATTTTACTAGCACTAGCTAATGAAAACCTCCCTAATTAGTATTATGAATAGACATTTCCCAAAAGCCATGAAAATTCTGATTTGCCTAATTACTCTGCAAAATTAAATTTCAATATAACTTTTGTGGTATCTTTATAACCATATTCCATGTAAGCTTCAAAATATTTTGATTGTATAATATATAATGAAAAGAATAGCTGTAATAGAAAATTTCTAAAAACTACACATTGTTGTACATTATCTGAATTCCAATGCTAAAATACTTATAAAACAGAAAAATCAAAACATTTAAGGAGAGTATCAAAAAATGGAAGCACTGAACAGACTGTTACAATGACCCTTAAATGAACCAGCAAAAACATTTGCTGCTGTCTTTGCTCTCTGAACTAGACCCATTTGTTTCCCAAGCTGTCAAAATGCTTACCGATTATATTCAGCGCCCCTAAATAAATTTAACGGATTTCGCCATACTTTGCATTCTGCAATAAAGAAAAATATGAAAATGTTACACATAGTTCAGACACATTACAAGCTAATTAATTCAGCAAAACACCCTTCCTGGCCATTTGATAAGATAATTTTATTTTCTATCCTCTACATGGGAAGCGATGTGGAAAAACTCTGGGTGGTTAATCAGGAAATGTAGCTCAGGCACCAGAACTTTGGAAAGTTTCACCTAATCTCTCTGGGCCCCAGTTTCCTCATTTGTTAAATCAAGGTACATGCCAAAACCAGCTAGTTCATGACTTCTACAGTCATTTTAAGAGGTCTAAACAGATTCTATGAATTTACTTCCAACATTAAAGGCAGCAGATATAGCTAGAAGTAAAACTACTTTCTGTTACTCTGCAATATATCTTACAATAACTTCATATATGACAAACGAAACTTAAGCTCTAGAGTATAACATGCAAAAAGGCTTAGATTTTTAATTAGGGTCTATGTTAATATTGATTTTGTGATAATTCACTAGATTGATTTTACATCGCCATAAAGGAGTGATAAAATTAGTAAAGGTACCATTATCGTAGAGAGAAATGTTACAAAAATAAATTGTTTTAACATTGTTTACTTATGCAAATTCATGTATTAATCATCACGTTAACACCATGTTAGCATGTACTAATAAATTATACATCTTTGTTACACAAGGACCACAGAAATTTAGAACCACAGAACTTTAACTTAAAAAAGTCAATCATTAGCTTTTAAGACTGTGTTATAATAAGTGTGCGACTAATAAGCTACAATTTTTCTCAAATAGCCTATGATTAAGACTTTCTACTGATGCAGAATACTACATTTCTTTGGATGAATGTTTTATTAGAAAATAAAATCAGCTAATAGTACTTAAAACATCCATGTGTGTGTGTAGTCTGTCAAAAAACACACTCAAAGACATATACACACAAAAGAGAGCAATTATTGCAGAAATCAAAAGACCATTAAAGGCCATGGGTGATTCTTTAAGATTCTACCCTCAGTCTTGTTAGACTCAACATCCATCCTTCCACCCACCCACCATTAAATCCATTCAATGAGCACTGAGCACCCAGTGTGGGAAACAAACAAGTAAACTATCAATTACAATACAGCGTGAAAATGAAGAACATAAAACACCGTGGGAACACTGTGTGCAATCTCCATAAATTTTTGCTAAAATAGTGAATGAAGGGTCTATATAGAACAGGAAGATATGTTTTTATTTAAAGAAGATAAATTTATCTTTAAATTAGGGCATGATTCCACTGAAAAAGTGCTCCATTTTTATAAACAGTAGCCCTAAATTTTCTGTCACTTAGCTTAACTTGCCACTTAGGAAATGATCTTTGCTCAGTTAGTTCAGCATTTTTGAATTTTTTTCTTGAGAAACTGAAATTCAATGGCTGTCACTTCATATGGCACTAACTAGAGGATTATTCCTCACTTAAATAATTACTTTTTTTCCAGATAGAAAGCCCTTTAGAGGGTTCACTAACGCACTTCAGATCACGGAATCACAGTGGTGAGACAAACAAGCACGATCGGGGTCCTTACGGCTATTATAACTCTTAGGTCCTCACCACCCCCAACCCTTCCTCAGAGCATATCTTTCAAGATTCAAAGTGCTCTTCTTAAAGCTTCATGAATATTGCAAGGTTTGTGTTTAGCATATAATAAATGTGCACAGAGATTTATGTACAAAGGATGCTCATGGTGGCATTATACAATAAAACAAGGGAGATCTCTCTCCCCCACTGAATTTCATCTGAAATATTAGTAAAAAGGTTATAGCAAATAATTTGTCTCCAACAAGTACATTATTATATTGCCTAGAAGGATAAGCACCATTCAAATATCAATTGAAAATTCATAAAGCAAATTGCCTTCACTTAAAATTTCAACTCTATTTTATATTGCATGCTAATGAAAGTATTTCTAAATAAAAATAACTCCAAAGAGAAATGGTGTGTATAAAGTATTATTGAGCAGTATCTAAAGATGCTATATTTATTTATGAAGTGCTACAATATAGCCAGCAGGGGGTGCTGCAAACATTTTGAAATACAGTTTTCACGCCTTCTATCTAGAGAAATGAACTTATAAAAAAAATCATTGTTAACATTAGTGTCATAAATGTGGTCTGTATTCAGTTTCTTCAATTATCACTGAAACTTAGAAATGAGGACCTAAGTAATTGTAACAGACGTGAAATGTTCTCAGTGAGAAAAAATAAGTAATGAAGACATATATAAATGTCTTCATTAGCTATATCCTTTAAATTAAAGGTGCAGGGCAGGCATAGTTTTCTTTTAAGATGAATACAGGGCAAAGTTTCACCTTAAATTAGGTCATAGCTAAGTTAATTTCTTCTTTGCTGCTGTGCCTCATAATCTTATCTTACTACAAAAACTCTCTCAGTCTGGAATCATTCTAGAGAACACACCCCATAAATATCAGACTGCCTGATGGTTTCGTGATATGGACAAGGGTTGTAAATGCCAAATGTATTACAATATAAAGATTTAAGTCAAAAATTTAAACTCAGGTCTCCAGAGGGTAAAAGTTTTTCCACATCAGGTCCAGTTTCTTATCTTATTTGTGCCTTTGAGGAATAAATTCCTTATTTAAGCCAGAATTAAAATTTTACCTCCAAAAGGAATTTTCCCTTCTCCATTAATTGACTGGGACTCCAGCAAGGGCTTGCTAACATCACTAATAGTTTAGTTAAAAATATGCCCCTGGTGCAACACACATGCTTTCTACAGTTCCATCTGCAGCAGCCCGCAGTGGAGTCTCTGCCCGCAACTGCTGACAGAAACGTTCAGACCTCAGCACACGTGCAAGAATGCAACTCAAGAGAAAAAGAAGCAGTAAATATTGGAATAGGACCTGTTTAGCTCCCAAAGTCTGTAGAACAGATTCCCTCCTTTGTCATAAAAGGATGATTACAAGTTTCTGTATGGGATACAAAAAATAATGCTGACTACTATCATGGACTTCCAAACTCAAACTCCAATCTCTTCCTCAGTCTTCCCTCTCACCATTCCCTATTAAAACTTTCAATCTCAGTGATACTTATTCCATGTCTTTTCATACTCAGTTACTCATCTAGAACATGCAGAATAGCTATTACGCATTAGTCCTGCACTAGGCCCTGCGTTACAAAAACAGATACAGTTTATGATCCAGAGGAGCTTACAGACTTACTGGAAAAATGAAAAGGGCATTGGAGCACATCTGGTATCCAACTGAAGAAGCTCTAGAGAAGAAATAAATGTACCAAGACAACCACACACTTTCCCTTTGTCACAGTTCTCAATGAAAAAAAGAACTTAATTCTCAGAAAAACCAAAGGCTCTAAAGTCACAGGGCTTTTAACTGCATGGAAAATATTATTCTAAATCCAACCTACTCAAGTCTGAAACCTTTTTTTCCTAAAATTTAAAAAATAAGAGGGGCCGGGCCAGTGCGCAGCAGTTAAGGGCGCACGTTCCACTTTGACGGCCCGGGGTTCACCGGTTCAGATCCCGGTGCAGACATGGTACCGCTTTGCATGCCATGCTGTGGTAGGCGTCCCACATATAAAGTAGAGAAAGATGGGCACAGATGTTAGCTCAGGGCCAGTCTACCTCAGCAAAAAGAGGAGGACTGGCGGCAGATGTTAGCTCAGGGCTAATCTTCCTCAAAAAAAAAATAATAATAATAAAAATTAAAAAATAGAAAATAAAAAAAAGATAGAATCCCCACTCCTTAGGGTCTTCAAATATATAAAATTACTAATTCATAGCCTAGGAAGACTTCTTATACTAAAAAGTTACCACCTCTTCCCAGAATCTAAAATTTGATAATGATTATCATCTTATTTTTACTATTATTATATTATTACCGTATTATGACAATCACATATTATTATTACAAGCAGCAGCAACTTTTATTGTAGCTATAAGCTTGATTTTCACTGAGCCTTTCTATAAAGTGGCGTAAAGCTCAAGTCATCTATCTCCCTTCCATAAGTAAGTGAGAGGCAGAAAGTAGGCTCTTTTTACAGAGTAGAACACAGAAAAGCTACATAATTTCCCGAAGGTTCATGATAAATGAAATTAAGGTCTGGTGTCCAGATGGCCCAACCATTACCCACTATATGCAACAGACCTGTTACCCTGCAATATCATATTTTAAAAATCCTGTGACTTCATCAATTAAATTTTCTACTAAAGAAATAGTTTTGAAAACTCCTCTGGGGTAATGTTAGACACTTTTTAATAATACTTTTAAAGATTTTAGTCCCAAAGTACAACAGAAAAGGACCCTAACTAAAATTTCATCAGATATATTATGAGAATCAATATTAACCCCAAGCCAGTCAATTTCTGATATGTGATTCTGCATATATTTATTAGCTTTGATATCTCAAAAATAAATACCCAATTCTCTACATCACACAGGTCAATTTTAAGCAATCACTCGAGTAACAAAATATCTATTTTCGTTTTCTTTTAAAGATTTTATTTTTCCTTTTTCTTTGCAAAGCTCCCTGGTACATAGTTGCATATATTTCTTTTTAGTTGTGGGTCCTTCTAGTTGTGGCATGTGGGACACCGCCTCAGCATGGCTTGACAAGCAGTGCCACGTCCACGCCCAGGATCCAAACCAGCAAAATCCTGGGCCGCCAAAGCAGAGCGCACGAACTCAACCACTCAGCCACGGGGCGAGCCCCCATTTTCTTAAATAATTAAGCTTTACCTGTTTTATTTCAAAATAATATTTTGAAAATACTATTTGAAGTAACATGTAGGTAGCTTTAAATTCAACAAATATGTGACTCCCTCAAATTCTTTTATGGAATGAGAAAAGGTGTAAATAATTATGAGCTTTAAGATTTTTATTGATCTGCTTTATTCAAGATAGTGTACCACTGTCTTCAAGAATATTGCCAAATCTTTAAACATCTCTCTCATACATTTCTCATTGGTCATTTCTGACTGAAGTGAATAAATTCTACCAAATAATGTGGAAATGGTGAAATAAGTTTATTAAATAATGTTTACCAGGGACCAAAAGTGTTTTAGGCATTTTCACCATTCAACTGGAGATCTAATCTATACTAGAACAGAAATTTTAGCGGCAAAGGATTTTAAAAGATGTGGTAAGCATTGGCTAAGAGAATGATTTTCAACACTAACATAGATTTTGGCTACTATCCCCTGATTGACACTATTACAGAGCAACTCCAAAGGTCCTTGACATGTAGCAATTTGCAGTTTTGTTGAGGAACATATTTGAAATGAAAGCACTGAAAGGGCTTGGGTATAAAAGTGAGTCACTGAGCTAGCGAGCAAGCCTAGCTGAACTCAGCCATATCTCCATGTGGTTGTGCCATCCTCCTGATCACATTCATAGAGAAGTCAGTTCATCTAGAGGACACTGCCAAATGGCTATCCTCTGACTTGATATTTCTGCATGACCTCATTTTAATCATCAAACTATTCTGTGGAGTAGATAGTACTGTTATTCCCATGTGTGCAAATTAAGATACTAAGGAAGGTTAAGTGGCCTGTCCAAGGTCACACACTGTAAGTGATGGAGCCAAGATCAGGGCCAAATCTGTCTCACCCAGAGCCTGAGCCCTCAACATCAGCAATCCTGCCACTGAGCTGTTTCCAAAGTAAGTTCGGCTAATGTCATTTCAGAAATAATGTCATGTACTATAGTATAGGGTTTTAACAAAATTATTCTAATTGTTTAATAATTACATTAGTCTTGAGTTTATAGACCTCACAGAGGGTCTAGACTAAATTTTTAATTAGTGTTTAAGACATTGGACTCTGAAGTGATCCAATATTAAAACTATACAGCTTTCTACAGGGAAAATTATTTGCTCTGGTGTTACGAGAATTCGAGGATCTACAAAGGTCTTTGGATACATCTTTGCATTCTACCTGAGCTTACTGTCCTCCATTGCTTTTCTTTAATTTATTATCTGTATTTAATCAGTGCTTGAATTGCCTCTAGTGATATAATGAACTTTAATTTAGAATTCCAGGTGGAATTCTTATAAAAAGTTTTCTGTAAAAAAGATATACATATAAACTTATATGTGTGTGTAATATATATCTTATATAGATTAAATGAGGTTAAAATGAGATTTGTGACAGAAAACCAAATGACTATAACCAGAGTTTGTCTAAAGATCCAGTTCTATGCAAGAGGCTATCAAATGGTCTCAGAGAATTTAAACTTGACTTTGGCAAGGATACTTCTCATGTGATGAAGCATCCTGTTACTTTCTAAATATCTTGAAGACAGTGAATGCTGCAAACCTTTGTCTTTACGGCATCTTATTTGAGAACAGGGCAAACTGTCAGAGGTTCCCAGAAACCCAAATTCAGAATGTTACTGGGCCCTGAGAATCCCTTCCCTTAAGACAAGGAGAAGCTGGCCATGTTTTAAAATCTCTATGCATCATCAGCTCATAAGCTAAGCTGAATTAAGAAGTGGCAGCAATAAACATAGTGACATGGCAAATACATCAACAGGGTTTATCAGAAACTGTATATTTATGAGAAAAATAGCACTTTAGCTTCCAAATAAAGAAAAACAAGTGAAATGTTCATAAATGTTAACCTAAGCCAAACAATCTGAAATTTGGCTAGATTAGGAAGCTGCATAATTAACTATATTACTTCTCCAGCCCACAAAGATTGCCGCAAATTTTGAGAGGGTCTGCACTTAGGTCAATGAGGACAGATCCAAAACTTAAACGATATTGGAACAGTCTGCCTTGTAATAATCACAACCTGCTCACTCTCCATTCCCCCACCCCAAACTATTCCTAGGTAAGCCAGTCTTTCAGCTTTTAGCCAAAACAAGAGTCTTTAAGGAAAGAGCAACACTATGAGTTTTCATATACACCAATGCTTATAACTGGTATTTTCAGTTTATTTTTAGCTTTTTCAATGATTTTCTCAAATAAGCAATGTCATTAAATTGCCTCTGCCAATGTCCATGGGACTGTGTTAGCCATGTTGCATTTCATGTAAGATCTGGCAAAGAGCTGTCTTATGATGCTCCAAGAAAATCAATAGATTCACCCTTCTGTTATTAAGGCAACAGTCATTGTGTTATTATTATTAAGGCAATGGAAATTTTTTAACAAATTCCTCTATTTTAAGAAAATGTATTGATTACCTCAGCTTTGGACTTTCTTTTTCCTTTATACTTAGCTGAAACCAGACTATGAAATAGAAAGTGCTTAAGGGTAGAAATAAACACAGATAATGTACTTTTATAATATTTTTCTTATCCAAAAGTAAAAATCACCACCAGAAAAAAGAAGTGGAAAATGGTATTAGTTCCAAGGTGTCTGGTACTTCCATACTAGCATATATGTTTGCTGATCTGAGTTAGCCAAATATCAGAAACCCAGATGTCAAGGAGAAGTGGGTAGAATGAGCCCTGATAGACTTAGATAAGATAATTTCCATTTTCCTAAACGTAACTATTTGAACATTGTTATGATCATGGTCAGATCATAAATGATGTATCTATTATACAGAAAATGAATATAAATATTGTGTGCATAGTAGTAGACATTCAGTAAATACTAGTGGAATTGAATTAATAATATTCAAAAGCTCAGTCTTAGCCAGTAAAAATAAAACTGGGAATTTCCATGCTTATTACTGTAGAATACATTTTTTAAAAGGGCTTAGGTTCTCCCTTTAAAAACTGCTGTAAAAACACTAAGAATAGCATCAAGATTTATACAATGCATAATGCTTATTCACGGCATCCACGAAGAGAGACAGAAAAATAATAGCAACAATGAGAAGAGTATGCACTCTTCATTGCATTAAGGAATGATGTCAAGAGATTTAAATCGGGTAGAGAGAAAGAGAATTTTAATGAAAATAAAAATGCATTCACAATAAAAAACGGCTTCAAATGAGGCTGCTTTCTGTTTTCAACATGCTAATTTTCTACAATGTTCTGTGTCATTTAAAGACTACAGTAATCAGACAAGAGCACATTTAATTTGTAGCGTCTTCACAGCAGATGCAAAGTGATGGCAATTACCCACAACTGCTTATGTGATGACTGAATGATCAAGATTCTTCATTAGAATAATATGCCACACTTATTAGAGTAGCTGATTAAAGTAATGGTTCACTTTGCTCAGATCTCTTTCTGTTTCTTTCACAAAGTGGATGAGTTCAAAAAGTCCCAGACAATTTTTTTACCTGCGTGGTGCCATCTCTCATGCATGTACCCTTTAGGATGAAATAAATGCGAACCTAGAGGCGCCCATTGCCACTCACAGTTGGCTTGCAAAGATCTATTGAAGGAACATTGAATCGACATCAGTAATAAAGCATACATACAACGCTCCTGGATCCTTATCACTTGGCTAGACAGTTATGAAATGCAGACTGAGTTATTCTAGGGAAAAAGAAAAAACATCTAACTCAGCTCTTTAATTTCTTCCTCTTCATCTTGCAAGTCTCAGAACTGGTGCCCTCTCCTTCAAGAAGTATACGCCTTCTCCCAGTTTGGGTCAGAAACCCCTCCGTTGTTCTCCACAGCACTCTGTTTCCTTCATACACTTTCCACTTTGTCTCCTTCAATAGGCATGAGAGTTCCATGGGGACAAGGCCTTTGACTTTTTTAATCACAATATTCAAAAGAACCCATACAAGGCCAGGTTGATATTAGGAACTTTGGAAATGTTTACTGAGTTGATAAAGAAAGAAAGCTAGGAAATTATACTCTTCCCCCTTCTTTTATGAGTGGAGAAAGTACTTTTATGAGTGGAGCCTTGCCTGTGCTCATTCATTCATTCACTGAGTTTCAATGATATAGACACTGTGCAAAATGCTAGAGATACTGTAATACAGCAGTAAGTTTAAAAATTATACACAGTGCAATTTGATAAATGCTGCCAAAAATAAAAATATTAAGAGTCAATGAAGGTTGAGAGATATTGTGCAACCTATCAGAGAAGGCTTCCCAGGAGGTAACATTTGTGCTGGGTTGTGAAAGATGAACAAACATGAGAGAAAGGGAGACAGACTTCTAGGCAGAGGGTCACAAGAAAACATGGTATGTTCAAGAAGTGAAAAGGAGAGGAAATGGACTGTGACAGAAGCCAACGTTGGCAAGACAGGTTAGAAGTAGCTTATGCTGCACCAAGGAAACTGGAATCTGGGCTTCATCTTCAGTGGAATGGGAACCACTGAAGCCTTTCAAGCAGAAGAGTAATGTGATCAGATCCAGTCAGACACAAGATTCTGCAATTAGCATGGAAGAAAGCGGATACATTCAATGAGGTTTGAGAAACTAGGGATAAGGACGCTGGAGACTCAGGCTGGGAACAGTGACCTAAATGGCCATTAGGTAAATCAAATGGATGAAAAAGTAAAGCCAAACAAGACAAACCTTCCCTTTTCCTGAGATGCTTATACTCCACTTCTCTGGTAGACACTGTCAACTCCTTGGGAAAATAAACTGCATTTTTCTCTGAAGTCTAATCTTTAAATAACATTCGTACAGTCTTATAGTCACAATAATTTAGTGAGAGTAAGCAAATAATGTTGGAAACTGAAGGATTTTCCATACCTGAGACGCTTTGCCTATTGGAATCCGAGTCCCCATTACTGGAGTTAGAATTGTTGGAGGAGTTGTTGTCAACCCCTCCCAGAAGGGGGCGTAAGTGGCTTACTGAGACTTGCTCAATGAATGACGTTCCATACTTGCGAAAATACCACCATTCAAATATCTAGAACAGAAAAATAACTGTGATTATGGTTCTTGTTACTGTTTATGATTTTTGTACACATGCCCATAAAATACATTGCATTTACTAATTACATCCACCTTAAATACTTAAACAATTCTTATTCCAAAAAATTTAATTTATTCTAAAAATTAAAGTGTAATAAAATTACAACATCAATTACATTTTAAATTCTCAATGTTGTTTTCTCTACTTAACACTGGTTTTCAAGAAAAATCTGTAATTACAATCACGAATAAAAGAACACTGTTAAGATCTGCTCAATATTATTTTTCTCCAAATTTACTTAATAGTCTAATAACATAATCACCATAGCTGAGAGACATCTCCAGAAATGTACACAAATAAGCCAGTTTTAGAAGTATGGCTTATAAAATATTCCAATTCTTGGCACTTTACATTCTGATAAATCCACACCTGCATAAAATTTTTAAGATAGCAAAATTCCACTAAGAAAAAAACAAAGCATCTCCTTAGAGAAATGCTGGTTTTACAAAAGGAGTGAAAGGCATCCCGTTTCATGTATGGATGGTACCCAACCGCTGAGAGACTCAGCAATGTCCCACCTGTTAAGAATTGCTTTATAAACACAAGCATCTGTTATACGCCATTAATGTTTCCCAGTTCACAAGCTTAGCAATCGTTATGTACTGTGGATTGTGAAGGAGAAAAGAAATAACTTTCATTAATAAAAGGAAAGAAGCAATGATGCTTACATGACTGACTTAAATCAGGACTTCCTAGAGCACTGGGAGAGCAAGCTACCTCCCTCACCCCATCTAACCTGATCCCTGCTGCCCCTTCAGTGAACGCTTTCCCACCACTGCTCAAAGTTGCTCTCTCCCACATCCTTTCCTCTTCTCCCTGTCTGATTTGGGATTTGTTCCTTAAGTAGTCACAAATCATTATACAGAAGAAATTTAAGAATCAACTATATCCCAGAATCTCATAGGTTAACTATACTATATTTTTATAATATAATATAGAATGTGGAACTAACATAGAATTATGTTTATCCTTATTTCATAAAAACAAGATTTTGTTATCTACTCTGGAATGGATTTGGGGCTATTATTTAAAAATTGATGTTTTCTCTCTTATGCTCTATCAAAAATTCCTAAGAAAGACAGAAAATGGGCCGGCCAGTAGCACAGTGGTTAATTTTGCGTGTTCCGCTTCAGGGGCCCAGGGTTCACAGGTTTGGATCCCAGGTGCAGATCTATGAGCTGCTTATCAAGTCATGCTGTGACAGGCATCCCACATATAAAATAGAGGAAGATAGGCACAGATATTAGCTCAGGGCCACTCTTCCTCAGTAAAAAAGAGGATTGGTGGTGGATGTTAGCTCAGGACTAATCTTCCTCAAAAAAAAAAAAAAAAAAGACAGAAAGAACATCTGTGAATGACCAGAAAGAACTATCAATCAAACTAAACGTTTCCATTTCTATAATAGGATAACTTGATTTAATTCCAACCACTTACCTCTAACTATACGAATTTTCAGAAGTTAAGACATTTAAGTAATTTTACTGGGCAGACAGGGGAGAACATAATATAGCTAAGAAGGAACAGGGCTAGTCTACAGCATATGGAATGCTAGGAATAAGAGATCTTACTTGCAGAAGGAAGAAAGTTCAAAAATGGTAAATTTACGAACCATGGATCCAGAAGGGAGTTTGTAACCTCAGATAAGTTGTTTAATCTATTTGAACATCAGTTTCTTCAACCGTAAAGTGGAAATCATATGTCACAACCATACAAAACATCTAGTTTCAAATCCCACGTAAAAGATCTACTTCAATGCCTGCTGCATAGATGGTTCTCAAAAGTAAAGGCAAAGCTATTATTTATTATAGTGATGATGTACACACCTCCTATGGGCAGCACAGCCCACATACTGCTATGACGCGCCCCTCTTTTTGCCAGTCTACAATTCAGGCTGGGACAGCAGCTTGTCTGTTACTAAGTTGTTGGCTGAAAGCCTTGGAAATCATTTTGAAAAGGGGCACTGCTCACCATTCAGTCCTGATCACCCATCAAAGCCCTCAAGAGGTTAGTGGCTTTGCCTTTATTAGAAGAGAAGGAAGGCTCTGAAAGGACCAGAACATTGGTCACAGAACTAGCAATGGCTCTCAGTCACTTGTGGGGAGAGCTCTCTTTGCACCAAGTCTTTGCTCTGCTTTCTGTATTATGCTGCTTGGGTGCCTGCCAGGCCTTAGTTCATTACTTCAGTCACACAGCACTAAGGGCTCCACATCAGGCATGAGCTGTGCTCCAGGGTTACAAAGCACAGATGTGGCCCCTGTTGCCATCAGTACATGCCACAGACACACAATGCCTCTCACAGGTTGCTCCTGACATGGTCTATACCCATCACAAAAAATACCTTAGGACTCTTCAGAATTCTGAGTTCCTCCAGCATCATCACAGAACATTAGCACTAAAAGGGACCTTAAAGGACCATGTACAGTCTCCATTTAGAGATGAGGAACAAGGACCGACCAAAGTCACACAGCTAAGTAAGTAGTCACTTAGCCTGAAGCCCCAGCTCTGTGCCACTAATCTTCCCAGGGCTGTATAACAAGATATCTTTTTATAACTCTCTTGCTCATTTAGACAAATACAGACAGACGTAGCTTATCATTTCCCTTTTCAGATCTTCAATTCCAAATGCCCCACAAACTCCACTGCACCTCTGTGCTTTCTTAGCTATCAAAACCAACCCAGTAGTAGTCTACCAAAGGGGACCAGATAATTCATCCTAAGGTGTAAATGATTCATATTAATGGCATATTTGTTTTATAACAGAAAAGTGACTTTCCGGGGCTGGCCCCGTGGCCGAGTGGTTAAGTTCGCGCGCTCCGCTGCAGGCGGCCCAGTGTTTCGTCGGTTCGAATCCTGGGCGCGGACATGGCACTGCTCGCCAGACCACGCTGAGGCAGCGTCCCACATGCCACAACTAGAGGAACCCACAACGAAGAATACACAACTATGTACCGGGGGGGCTTTGGGGAGAAAAAGGAAAAAATTAAAAAAAAAAAATCTTTAAAAAAAAAAAAAAAAAAAAAAAGAAAAGCGACTTTCCACCTACTATTTCTAATGCTGGAATAATAGACTTCAGTAAAGATTGGGATATTCATGTAGCTGTCTGGGGGGAAAAGGAGGGTATTCTCAGGCCTGTCTTATCATCTTATCACAGTAATAGATGGCTTCTTACCCATCATGGTCCTTCTTTATACTAGTGTCCCCTGTACCCCGGAGCAGAGGCTCCAATATGTATTGAATGAACAACTAGTAAAAGGAAGTAGAAAAGGACTTGAAGCCTTCTTAAACTTCAAACCAAGTCTCTAATTTGGGATCTTAGGATAACAATCTGCCCCTTATCCTGAAACATGACAGGCTTTGGGCCAGTACCTCACAGTATTTTTAAAGAGCTGCATAGATCCAAATGGGCAGATGGTGTTATTTAACACGCACATATTTGGTGTCACTTTGAATTCTTCTCCCTGGTGCATAACCTACAATGTAAACAGCAAGGCTCTCATAAACAAATTCAGATTTTAAAATTGGTCCTTGGACATGCAAATAGCTTAGCAGATTCACCACAGTGGAACAAAACACTTTTTAATCTGACAAATAACCATAAAATTAAAATATAAATTTACGCATTTCATAGTCTTAAAAACATCTCTCTCTAGTATTTTCTTCCTACTCATGCTCCATCCCAAAGATTTTACAGATCAAGTAAGATGAGAACTAAAAAGCATCAATTGGGGGGCCGGCCCCATGGCCGAGTGGTTAAGTTCCTGCAGTCTGCTTCAGCGGCTCAGGGTTCGGATCCTGGGCATGGAGATGGCACCACTCGTTAGGCCATGTTGAGGTGGTGTCCCACATGCCACAACTAGAAGGACCCACAACTAAAATATACAACTATGTACTGAGGGGATTTGGGGAGGAAAAGAAATAAAGCAGGAAAAAAAAAAGGTTGGCAACAGTTTTTAGCTCAGCTGCCAATCTTAAAAAAAAAGAAAAAAAGCATCAATTGAGTTTGGCATTTAGGAAGTCAATAGTGACCCTCCCATCTAGCTGAAAGGTAAAAACCCGAATACACTTCATGATAGCTGAGTCGTGTACCTTTGGTTGGCACTCCTGATTCTCTGGGACTCAGTTATCTAATGTATAAAATAAGGTCACAGTAAGCACTCAGTTCATGTTGGATGGATGAATAGATGGGTGGATGGGAGGATGGTGGATGGAGAGATGGATGGATGATTAGAAGACTGGATGATGTCTGGAAGGTTGAATGGATAGACGATAAGGACTGGGCTGGTCATTTAATGGGATATGCTCTAAACAAATGACAAAACCAATGAAAAGTTTTGTGTTCATTTTGCTTGTTATAAAAAAGATGGGTCTACACAGATTTGTGGAATAAGAAAGAATCTAGTGGAAAGAGAGAAACTGGAGATGCAAAAGAGTACGAATGGCTAACAGGCATGATACCAAGAGCCCGAGAAGCACATCTACCCTGCCTTTGAAAACGTAACCTACCATTTCCTGCTCTGAGACAGGAAGAAAGAGGAGGACAAATGAATAGAAAAATACATTCTATTTTGGAATGTCGGGCATGCTATGAGCTGTTTCACAAGTAAGAAAGCAACAAAGGAATAAAAAGTGGGTACCACAGATCTCGGTGGAGATGCAAGTAAGGTTTATCATCTGTGAAGAAGGGAAGTGGGGATGGAATTGGGAATGTGAGGGTGGAAGAAGTGGTTTGGATCTATATCTTACAGGACAGAAGGGCCACAAGCTATACTCAGGACTCAGATCACACATAAAACAAAGACCCATTTGCCAAGGACCGAGTTACCAAAGCCTTGTGACCTCCTCAATTACTATATGACAGAAGTGGAGAGGATGACCAAGGAGCACTGGGGCTGGGAGCTGGAGGTGGAGATTCAGGTTTGCAACTGGCTTAAGGT